ATTCTATTGATCCTGCTATCTTACCTCTCTCTTTCATGTCCTCTGTCAGGGTTGTTGTGTCATTGATACTGACTGAAGAAAGACAAAAAAACAAATTAAACATCCCATACATGTGTGCACAACAAAGATTCAATACATTACTGAACATAGTCAAAGATACATTGAAAGATTTAGATAACTGAACAGTGAATTTTAACTCGGTGTTTGTGCGTAAGAGTCTCCACCCTTAAGTCGATCTGTGTGTATTAACAATTTTTAAGTGTCTAAATGAATTCCTGTTAAATTGCCCTTACTGTCTTACCTTTTTCTTTGATGCCCTCAGCATCTGACACACTCTTTGTGTCTTTGGTATCAGCTGGAGAAAAAGTGATATCAAATAAAATTTTAACATTCTATATCTGTTCATTTTCAAATAGAACTCAGCATTACAATTTGTTAAGAACATACAAAAATTTAACTGAAATTATCTTCTTAAGTATGCTAAAGACCAGGCTTTGTTTGAGCAATATGATTGTGGTGTGTATAAATATGTGTGTGTGGGTGTGTGTTTGTGTGTGTCATAAGTACATTAAAAGTCGAATTATTTTACTGAGATTCCTGTCTTACCTATCTCCTCAATACTAAGGGTCTTAACAATTTTAACATTTTTCTTGGCTTTTGTATCATCTGAAAGAACAGAACAGAATTGAAATGAAATTTTAAGACAGCATTATGTGTGTCCAATTTTTACACAGCAAAATCATTAATTTTTAAGAAGATAAAATATTTTGTTAAGTCTGTCAAAGGCCAAACTTTGCTGGTGCAACATGTGTACAAGTAGTGTGTGTGTGCGCAATTGGACATGCACAATCATATTCCGTCAGTGTGATAAATAAATCCCTTTTCTATTGACCCTGCTGTCTTACCTCTCTCCTTCACGTCCTCTGTCACAGTTGCTGTGTCTTTGATATAGACTGAAGAAAGATAGGAAAACAAATTAAACATCTCATATATGTGCACAACAAGGATACAGTACATTATTTAACATAGTCAAGGACACATTCAAACATTTTGATAAATGATCAGTGAATTTAACTCAGGATTTGTGCGTGAAATTCTCCACCCTAAATTCCACTTGTGTGTGTTAATGAATTCCTTTTAAATTGCCCTTACTGTCTTACCTTTTTCTTTGATGCCTTCAGCATCTGCGTTTTTGGTATCAACTGAAGAAAAAATTACATTAAACATAAAAACTTAATATTCCATATCTGTGCATATTCAAATACAGTATTACAATTTGTTGAAGACACATTAAAAGACTTACTTGACTAAAAAAATTAATATATTATCATATTATGCTTAAGACCAGAGTTTGCTTGAGCAACATGCTTGCAGTGTGTTTGTTAGTGTATGTGTGTGTGCACACATGTTTCATAAGTAAATTAAAATTCATAATTATTCTACTGAGATTCCAGCCTTACCTAGCTCCTCAATACTAAGGGTCTTAACAATTGCTACATTGTTCTCTTCTTTGGTATCACCTGAAAGAACAGAATTGAATTTTAAGGAATGTGGTTCAAAAAAATTAAAAATTTAAAAATTCAATTCAATTAAATTCAATTCTGTTCTTTTAATTTTCATTTGTGTTCAATAATTACACCACAAGAGCATTGATTTTTCTGAAGATAAAGTGTCAAAGGCCAGACATACTGTGCCTGTACATGTGTGTATGTATGTATGTGCTAATGTGTGTGTGTGTATGTGTGCATGCATGTGCTAATGTATGTGTGTGTGTGTGTGTGTGCACATGTGAATGTTTCATGTGTGTATTAAAGTCAAAATAATTACTGAGATTCCAGTCTTATCTATCTCTTTAGTGTTAAGATTTTTTACAATTGTTACTCTGTTGGTATCAGCTGAAACATGAGATTTGAATTGAAATCTAAGGAAACACAATACATGTATTTGTTTTGTCTAAACTTAACACATCAAATACATCATGGCATTGAGTAAAATACAGTAAACCTGGTGATTCTGGATGTTGGAGACAAAAGGGGGGTGTTAGTCTGTTAATCTGATTGTATTCAGCGAGTTTCCATGGAGTTAGTGTATATTAGCTAGGTCTTCAAATTCAGACTTGCATCCTGAGAGTCAGTGTTGTAGCCATAAATAATTTTATTTCATGATTCCTTGCTAGAAGAATAAAAAATGCACCAAGTTGATTGCTATATCTGCTGAATTATTGTCTTGAATAGAGCAATACAATTATATAATGCAATTCACTTACCACTGGTGTGGACTTCAGGCTCGTACATGTAGTTCAACTCTGAAATAAGATGTCACATTTATTTGTCATTCACAAATTATGATATAGTTTAAAATATAGTCTAAAATGTATTTGACAGAATTAAAGGACCATTTCATCATTTCTATTCACAGGTTATATTTTATAGGATTATAAGATCAAGTAATCTGTTTTACCAAGCATTATACATGACAAATTTAAAACTTTAAGTCACTTTTTATTTCCATTGGTTATATCAAATAGAATTAAAAGATCAAGCACCTTTTATTTCCATGTCCAGTTCTCCCCAAGTACAGGTCACTTCCATGCTGTCCTTGGTGGTCACCTGGAGGCACCTGTTCCTAAAGGGTTCAGGCTCCCATGTCCAGCCAGACCCAGGGTGGTAAGGCTGATTGAATGATGAATGAATAAATAAATATTTGATGATATCGTAATGTCTACAATGAAATACAAAATGTTAAAAAATATACGCAATAACTGATAAATCAAATACACTAGAGAAATGAATGAAGGCGTAAATAAATACTTCAGCATTTCATACTTTTAATTTACTTTTTCAATTAAAAAAAATCATTTTCACCTTAGATAATTACTTTTGTAAAAAAAAAAAAAGGATGATACTTACATTTTGTGGCTTAATGAATTTCCATTCCATTTTAGAGCCCTTGGGCAGGAGAAACTCTGCCCTTAGAGATGGGACACCCATGTTGGTGGTCCTTGGCATGTTAATGCCGTGCTGGGTGTCCCAGCCTCCAAGGGCAGTTCCCCTGCCCACCACTTTTGCTTTCAACAGGTTTTCTCTCAAAATTAGTCTGACAGTGGCTTTGGCTGTTCAAAATAAAAAGTAAAATAGAAAGAAATCCTATCAATATATCTTTTTGATATTTTCACTACAACATTCAAATTGACCACTTATTTAAAGTAAATAAAGAATGGGATATCTTACTTTCATATTACAAAGAAATTAATTTGTTGTTTTATGCCCACTGTAATGAATTGCCAGCCCATTTATCGAAACACATACAGTCACACACACACACACACACACACACACACAACTTACGATCACACTGTTCTTTTTTGTTTATTTCAATCTTCATATCAGCTGTCATCTACAATTTTGAAATATATTAAAATATTAAAATGCACTTATTGGAGTTGGATTGATCCTGTCAGATTGATCTAGGTATGGGAACTCAGTCTAATGCTTGATACACATTTTACTTTCATCCTAATCCAATGTTATGCAGAATTAGAATTTGATGTTGGCTATGCAGTTACAGTAAGCATAATACATTAGTTCATTAGAATTGACAGTATCCTGTTTCCTGTGTTTTTATTTTCTGGTTTTTGACAGCTTTGCTGCCTTGTTTTTTTTTGTTTTTTTTATCTTTATTTTTTATCTGTCATTTGTCAGCTTTGCTGCCTTGTTTAAATTTATTTTTCAAACAGTAGCATCTTCAAGATGTCAATTTTTTATTAGATATGCATAGGTGTTGTATTGACATTTTATGCTTCTTAACATTAATGTTATTTGATAATATAAAAATGAAGGTAAACCTGTCATCGTGTATTGTGAGATGGCTCGTATCATTCACAATGGCAAGACACCATTGACGAAAAGTCACTAATCAAAGGCGAGACACCTTTGCTTACCAACCCCCTACGTCCCTTAATTTTCCTTTTTTTTTTAATCTCAAACTCTGCAGCTGAAGAAGGTCACTTGTTGACCGAAAAGCGCTTTCTGCAACTAGTCCACCCTCCCCCTTCCCTCGTCAGGCAAGACGCCTCTATCGTGCCAATCACGAAATGCCCTTTTCAGGGCACCCTGTGTAGATCGGTATCTATAAATATCATACGATGTAGGTGAGACACCTACTCTCCTATCAGAGACGATCTTTCCTCATAACAAATGCGAGAAGCCTAACACACTCTAAGAGTCCCTCTCTACTCTGCACGGAATGTCCTTTTCAGGACACCCTACATGTATAAGTGACTATAAATCTCATACCAGGCAGGCAGGACACCTACCTTCCTAACAGAGACAATCGTGGCTCATAATAAAGGCGAAAAGCCTAACACACTCTAAGAGCCACTGACTACTCTGCACGGGGTGCTGTAGAAACACACGTCCTCAGAGGCCCAGCTCTGAATCTTGTTATTTTGGTAAAGTGGAATATAACTAGGACATGAACCCACCACCCCCAACACTAAATTGCTATCAGCAGAGTTTTAAATGTCTGTCACACCTACCGAATCAGCTAGAGGTAAAAATAATTACCCCCTAACAGACATTTATTTCAGATATGCACAAAAATGAAAGTAGTAATGAATATAAACATTTTAGGACAGGTTTTTCCTGGTGCAACTGGGTTACAATACAAGGATGATGATGGAAGCCCCCCCCCCCCCACTCTTGTCTTGAAGAGGGAAGATACATTTAGAACACCACTTATGGGTTGGAATGTACAGGGAAGGACCTATCAAGTAATCAAAGGTAATGTGGTAAATGATATTGTAATAACATAAAATATATTCTATGGCAATTTTATGTACAGGAAAATTTTTTGAGTCATGTGTTGCCACATTGTATAATCATAGTTATAGTATACATGTTAATTTGCATCTGTCCTGTATAGATAATTATAAATCTCTGTAGAGGCCTATAGGTATGCCCGAGACAGATGCATATAACCTGAACTCTAAAGAGTTCTCCCTGTAATCCCTTTACTCCTTCCAGCATATTTTCACGCTAAATTGCATTCGGCCGAGCGTGCACCATAGTTAAATACCCCCTTAGAGCTTATAGTAGGCAGGACAGTCGCTTTAGCCTGCTAAGCTGTCAGTAATCTAGTGAGACTCTCTACGGGGATATATAAATCTAAAATCAATGTGAGTGGGATCTATGACCATGTTCCCATAGTTTTTAAAAGTTATTCTTGGAAAATGATATGTTCTGTCCCTCCCTTATGAAAAGAAAAACACGTGCACATGCAATTTCTAAGGTTGCCTTAATTTTTTAGTTTAGATAGATCCATCCCCGGGGGAGTCTTACTAGACAGACAACTGTCAGATAATTTGGCTTAAATGCCTGTCACGCCTACTACAAGCTGTAAGGGGGTAATAAACTTCCGTGCACGATCCGCTGACTGCAATTTAGTGTGAACCCCAAGGTGTTAGGTCCATGTAGTAAGATCCATCTAAATCTCTGGGAATGCCCTCTAAAACAATGATGTTGAACATACATTTTTTAGGCTTTTTGTAGAAAAATCCTCCTAAATGATTTCATATAATTATTGGTGGATACATTAATATAACATCATTCTAACATGGCTTAAAAGTCGATCCTGCATGAAAATTATTGATACTTATATAGTCATTATTTTTCAAAATACTGAAACAATCTAGTGAAAAGGAGTAAATTTTCCACTGTAGTAACATAGCTGGTTAACAATTAATGTGTCAATGACCTCATTACATGGTTCTTTTTAAAGTAAAACTAACCATTTCAGTAACATATGTACATGCATTTTCTTTCAGAAACCTCTTTAGATGTTTTTGCTGGCTTTAGGGCTGAAAGAGAACAAAATAGATGAACGTTCTTTAGAACAGAAAGACGTCCTGCCTTGCCAGGAACTGAGGCAGGTCCAAGCAGCAGACCAGCTTTTTCTACAAAATCTGTAACTGTAAGTCATGTTAACAGCACTGCCCTGAGTTGTTCATTTTTTAACTTAGATTGTACATAGATACTGTTCATGTTAATTAAATTTTAAATTTTTATTGCAGAGGAGAAGAATATATTTTGACCAATTTAGGTGATTATTTATAAAATATCCTAGCATAGTAATGTGTATTTATGGTCATTAATTAACATCATAAGTACTTGGGATCATGAAAGTATATATTAGAACCTAATATAGACAATTTCACAAGGATGAATTTTATGTTGGAAATGCCAAAAAATTCAGATTTGGCAGGAATGTGGTGTACTATCCCTTAATTTCTATTTATATATAAAAAAGTAGCAACAATTTTTTGTTGTGAGACGTGTGTGTACCATTTTTTTCGTAATCACAGTGCACTTCATTTTTTTAGTTGGCTGTAGGGATTGGTGAGAAAACTGGTGTTTTTTTTGTGCCAATATCTGCAAGAAACAAAAGAAAAGTAGGCGGAACAGTTAATATTACAGTTGAAGCAACAACAGCAAATGCAGGAGAAATCACAAGCAAAGCATTACAAAAATTTGAAGAAACTAACTGCCAATTTTACAAGAATGAAAAGTGGATACTTGCATATCCTGACGGAAGTCAAGTGGTCGATCTACCAGATAAATCGGCACCTTTCAATCTTAAAGCATATAAAGAATACCTCAGTACGGAATATCGGCGCATTAGGCTATACCTTACTGTGAAGGATGGTGAGTATTACTATTACTTGTTCTCATCTTTAATATCATTCCCTGTAAGTGCCAAACCAAATATTAATAAAAACTATAAAATTGAGCATCATTAATTATTGTTAATTATTGCTTGCAAATATTTTGGTTAAGTTCAGTCTATATAAATGTGTCAAACTGAATGTTTGTTACACATCATATTTGCTGAGATGCTTAAGATTAATTAGTCAGGTGTATTTCAAGTGACATAATCAATTTAAATGTAAATTTTAGGTGTTTTAAGAATTTTCACCCCACAAAATGTATTTTGATCTTCACTCCTTATAAATGGAGTTGCATAGTTTGGAAAAGCTTTTTTTAAAAATGATCAGATGATTAATATCTAATTACATAAATACAATATCAATACAAATGGCAAACAGATTTCTTGTTTTAGATTAAATGATTTTTGCATCCCAGCTGGTCTGAAAAGTTCATACCGAACATATATATATATAGGTTTATCTTGATTTATTTTATAAATTGTCAAAGCTTATGATAGTTAGTGTGGTTTGCTTATGTCCATACCAATATACATGCGGTATTGTAAAGCTGTTTGAATATAAAGATTTTTTCAGCCAATTATTATGTTGTTTGACAGCTTTGTCAAGTTGTTTTTAAACTGTATTTTCAAACAAGCACATATTAAAATATTAACAATTAACCTTGCAGTTCCAAGCAGCAGTAGCAGTAGCAGTAGTTCCAGTAGTCCTAGCAACAGCAGCAGTAACAGTAGCAGTAGCAGTAGTTCTGAGGTAAGACCGTTACACTGTTTTGCAGATATTTGCCAAGTCTCAGCATGTGGTTAAAATGATGGGCCTTATGACCAGAAGAGGTTGGAGCAAATGTGTGTTATCTGTAACTGTTCCCTTTTTTATACACCTTAATTTATTACTATGCCACGTTTGTAGAATTAAAGGGATAATAACTCTTCGTATGAGATCTATATTTCACAATGAAAACAATGTAAACAACTCATATATAAATAATATTTTCTGTTGTACCTCAAAAATAGCTGTTGTAGCTACTATACTGAGCCTGTCTTTAGACCATGTGACCTCCATTGATGGCTATACTCTTTTAGGAAAAAACATTAAATGTAAAAATGGAATCATTAACCATTGGTTAGTATGAGAAAATTGTTGTTTCCTCCAGGAAAATTCATTTTTTGGCCAAAACGAAGATTTATTATCACTTAAAGCCTACTTGCCATTCACTTTTTATGCGAATTAACTAGTGAATGTACCAATACATGTAGAAGGAATTAACAAGATAAAGCTGTGTTTACAGGAGGAGAATGCCACACAAGTACACAGTGAGGAGGCAGACAATATAGGAAATGAAGATGATGTGGAGACTGGCACTCCTACAGTAAGTGAAACTAATATAGAGGGAAACTGCAACAGATGTCTCTATTAATATTATACCTGTTTACATAATACAGATTGACATTAATATGAAATGTTTCACAAAATAATTAATAGTTTGATTGATAAATAAATTCTAGTGTTAAAATTGTGTTGAGTTAGTAAATGCNAGTGATACACTAACATTTTGGCAGATATTTATAGGGATTGTCCCATAATCAGTGTTTAATTAGTATGTAGCAGGGAATCCCTACCAGTCTTTATATTTTGTCAGAAAATATGCACTGTAGCTATCATAAATTCTATAATTTTTTTGTTATGCTTATATCAAAATAAACCATGTCATTTGGTTTGGTTTTATGCAAAGAGGGGATTTGGATTAAAATGAAAGCATTTGAAAGGATATTATCATATTTATTTATTGGTTTGCAGTAAAACTTATACACAAAATACATATTCGTTTTTCAGAGAAGATGAAGTGAACCCTGAAAAAATTCTCAGGGTTTACAGTAGTGAATACCTGGAGGGGCGCAACATGGATACAGTGGAAATTGATACTGATGAAACCACAACATATGAACGCACAGAACTTTTTATAAGTAGATTTACTGTGTGGGAAGATGCGCTTGAGCAATTACTGTCGATAGACAACCTACGGTATCCCTTGTATGTTTCCTTTCACGGCGAGGAGGCCATTGATTATGGTGGGCCAAGGCGAGAATTTTTACAAATCATGGTCACCGAAACCAAAAACAGGCTCTTGAGAGAAGAAAATGGTGTTGTCACCCTCCTAGAAGATGATTGTGCGCTTCACAACAGTATTTTTTGGGTGGACTAATTTGTGGTATGTACAATGCATTAGGAATACTATTTTGAAAAAAGAATAAATCTAGGTATTGGATTAAAAAAATTTAATGATGAACCTGGGTTGGGTAACAAGCATATGAAAATAGCATGTCCATCAGCATAAAATCAATTTGGTTGATGAAAATAAAATATACATTAGCAATAATAATTCACAGTTTAAAATATTGCATAGTATGGATTGAAATATATTTTATCTATTAGTTATATAAGAGGGAGATCCAGAATTATTTGAAGGGTGGGGGTCCATGGATGTGAAGACTTATTGTTTGGTATTTAAAAGGGAGAACTGTGTTTTTGGTATATATCATGTAGTAAAAATTCTTATTCCATGAAGTGAATATTTAGTTAATTTTTTTCACGACTCCCATGCCCCCTCTAAATCTGCCACTATATTTGTACATTTGAAATTTTTATATTTTATATTAAATTATTACATTGTCATATGAACAGTTTATCCTTAATTAGCCATGGTACGTCACTTAAGTAAATAAGCAATTATTCATTGCAACAATATAAACAACCTGCAAACAAATACAATAAATCAGCTGAAATGTGTGTGTGTGTGTGTGTGTGTGTGTGTGTGTGTGTGTGTGCAGGTCAACTTTTGTTATAGAAAGATATATAGATGTATAGATATATTAAACATATTAAACATTTTACAGGACTTAGTCTGCTGCAAGGTGGACTGTGTCCAACCTTTGTGGAATATATATTAGACAAGGAAAGCAAACACCACAAACAGTTTATGTCTGGACTAAGAAGGGTGGGGATTATACAGGTAAATGTATATATTTCAAGTGAAAAGGGACTTTTTAAACTTTCTGTTTCAAAAATGACTTAGTCTTACAATAAATAAATATTGCTTCAAAATGCTGAAGTTACAGAATATATGATAATGCTATTGTCCAGCAGTTTGAACACATTTTACACGGTTGATGAAAGTGTAGACTGACCGTTTATGACATGTGTGTTTGATTTAATTATGATGAAATTTTTTTATTTATTTTACCCCTTTGAATTCTGTTAATTAACTTTGTAATTTTAATTGATATAGGCAGGGAAACTGAGTTTTCAAGTTATAATGTAATGAATAAGATCAGTATCATTATTATGATTAAAATGATTTTCAATTTTTAATTATCAATTTATCAACAAACCTATTTATAAATTTAATATGCAGTTACACATCTATGGTACTGCTTTATTGTTCATTAAATCCTATTGCATATTCATTTCTTTGTTAATATTTCTAGCAATATTATTAATGAAAACAACTCTTCAACTTTAATTGTAGTTGATGGAAAAACTCCCCACCCTGAGAATGATTTTCAAGGAGTCAAATGCAAGCCTCACTTTCCCCAAGATACAGAGGCTTCTTAAAGCAGAATTCTCTGCACCTCAATCTTCCAGGTGCAGAGAAGAAGAACATGTGTATGGGCAGTTCTTAAGATATCTGAGGGAAGTGGCAGGTAATAATAAAGTATATCATACAATAAAAATGTGATAAATAGTTATTGCATGAGGAGCAAATGGTTTCCCAATAAAGTAACCTGTGCACAGTTGATAAGTACAACCTATAACCTCCCGATGGTCAGTCAACATATATCAATATATATATAAACATTACAAGCTTTGTTTCTGTCACTGTCTCTTTTTGTAAAATAAGATAATCTACAACATAGATATTGAGTATAAGGTAAATGCAACATTAAGTAAATTTCAATTAATGCTGTAGATTATAATAAAGAGTGTTCTTTTTCTTTCTCAGCAGGTAGAAGAAAGAGTGTGACGTTAGGGCATGTTCTAGCCTTCTGCACAGGTGCAAGGGAAATCCCCTCACTGCGATTTCCAAGTGACATAACTCTGACATTTTCACTTGCAACAGATTCCATGTTGCCAACAGCCAGCACATGTATCATGCAAATGAATTTAAAGATTCCAGCTCTGGGAGTGGAGAGGCCCCCCAGGAATTCATTTACAATTTGTGGGACTTGGCTTTTTCTAACACCTTTTTTGGCCTATGTTAAAGAGACATATAAAATCATCTTTTTGTTTGCTTCGTTGTAAGTGAGTTCAGGGTATATAATATGAAGAGCTCTTTTTTGGATGTTCTCTAAGGCTTTAGATTGCTGTGTGGTAATTCCAGCATGCCATAGCTGACAAGCGTACTCAAGTGTTGGTCTGAGATTGCTTTTATAAATTTGTAAGAGTTCATATCTCGGCACCCCAGCGTGTTTGACCATGCATAAGAAATACAGTCTAGAGGCAGCTTTTGACAGAATTTTTTTCTATATGTAAGTCCCATTTCAAATTAGAACTGATATGAACTCCCAGCAGTTTGGCAGGTGGAACTTGTTCGATTTTTATACCATCAATTATTAGGTTATCAGGTACAGTTGGGTCTTTACTGAAACAGATAAACAGTTCAACAGTTTATTTAGGATTAATTAGCATGTTATTTTGTTTTGTCCATTCATGTAGTTTCGAGGCTGCTATGGGAAGTTTAGATTGTGTAGGTTTGGCACCTTGTTCTATTTCCCTTGGAGATGGTTGGTGAACTGTCTCACAAACTGTAGTGTCATCCACATACTTTACTGCTGGTAAAAAACATTCCATGTCATTTATCATTGTGATGAAAAGGAGAGGTCCTAATTTTGTACCCTGGGGCACGCCCCCATGAATATGGCACCATTGTGACATTACTGATCCACACTTGATCCGTTGTTGTCTATTAAGTAAAAAGGCATGGACCCATCTGAGTAATACTGGAGGTACTCCATAGCTGCAGAGCTTGCCTAGCAATATATTGTAGTCTATTAAATCAAATGCTTTTCAAAAATCAAGTAATAAAACCCGAGCCCCATGAGTGTCACTGGCCTTGGCCCAGGTGTTAAATAGCTCGATTAAGGCCATTGTGTGGAGGAACCTTTAACATTGCCAACTGATCTTTCTTAATATGTGGTCCTAGTATCTCCCACAGCCATGTAAAATGAATGCAATTCCTTGCTGAGGATAGGTGTTAGGGAAACAGGTCTTAAATCATTTTCCACGCTCAGTGCTGGTTTAGTTTTAGGCAGTGGCACAACATTGGCACATTTCCAGATTGTTGGTAGCTTTCCTTAACTTATGGTATTGTTCCAGATTGCACATGCTGGTGCACCGAGAACTCCAGCAGTCTTTGAGAATCCAGTTCGGTATATTATTAGGGCCCGGGAATGTTAATATCATGTAAGTCAATCTCATCTAAGGGATCTAGGTGAGAAGTAATGGACTGGAAGAAGTTGTTGATGTTTTGTGCAAGTGCTTCCATATCCCCCTCATGGAGATGGTTGGCCATGGTGGTCAAAGAGGCACTGTTTTGAGATTTACCCATGATGTTGTTGATACCTTTCCACCATTTCCCTCGATCTGACGATTTTACCTCTTCAATTCTAACACTTTATTTGGGCTATGTTAAAGAGACATATCAAATCATCTTTTTTCCACAAAGTTTTTTGCCGAGGCACAATACCTAATGTACATTCTGTGATTTTGTGGTATTTTATGTGATGTGATATTTACTGAAAGTTGAAAATTTTGTATGCTAGCTGTTTTTCCAATTGAAAGGTATGGTGCACTTAGACATTAAGTACTTTTTTGTTTATACATACAAGTGTTTAAGTTTTTTATGCAAAGTTAATATTTTATAAACTGTTTACAATAGTCAAAACTTAAGTAGATTAGTACATGATGCAATATTTTTGCATGAATACTACATGTTAGTAGTAGATTGTATTTTTGTTGAGTTGGAAAATTTTGTATGCTAGCTGTTTATTCAATTGTTTGGATGTACAAAAGCTCAGTTTTTTTATTGTAAAAAAATATTTTATAATCTGTTTACTTATTGAACCATGTACTAATCTACTAAACATTTGACTATAGTAATTCTTAACATTTTACAAATTGAAAGAGTTTTTGAGTGTTATTTCATATGTATATTAGCACTAGATTATATTTTTGAGGAGTTGGAAAATTTTGTATGCTAGCTGTTTATCCAATTGAAAGGTATGGTGCACTTAGCCATTAAGCACTATTTTGTTTGGATGTACAAAAGCTCAGTTTTTTATTGTAAAATAAATATTTTATAATCTGTTTACTATAGTCAAATGTTTAGTAGATAAGTACATGGTTCAATATTTTTGCACAAATACTAGTGCTCATATTTTTCATTTATACTTTGTGCAATGTGTTTTTTTTTTCTCAGCCAAAAATATAAATAAACGTGATATAAAGAATGACCCAATTCTCAGCTGTTTCATAAATGTCCTATACACTTTACTCTTCTTTTAACCCTTCTTTATACACAATATTGTCGCCCATATATCAGGATTTGCATTGGGCAATATGAAAAAGATGCATGTTTTCTTACTAATTTACAAATGATTCCTGCAGTTGGGTTTATTTTTATTATTATTATTTTTTTTACAGTGAATTGATAATCTCTATTTAGAAACATTGATGAATTAAAACGATGGATATCTTATGAAGGAATATTGTAACATATTTGCAGATTCATCAACAGAAGACAAGCCTAGGAGACCACCTTCCTATCAGCATGACAGCAAGGACAAATCTGATGTACTTCATCTAATGCAAATCTTGACCAGTAGAACTAAGACATGTTTTTATTCTCAAAGTGACTTAAAACTCAGCAGTAATTGGGATCAGAGAAATCTCACTTAAAAAAATCATAAACTACATTTAAAAGTCTGAAGTTTACTTTTTACTGTGTAAATTTAAAAAAAAAGAACTTGCTGGATGGGTGGGATCCACATAATACATTTTGTTTTCTCCATTATGTCTTTCATGTTATACAATTTTATGTTATATTTAATGTTATGCAATATACATTATAAAGAAAATACATGTCAAATGGATGAGATCCTTTGCATATTTGGTACTAATTATTTGTGTTTTATTATAACCTTATTTATCTGTTCTAATTAAACATGAACATACTTGAATATAAAAGCAAAAGTGTAGTTATCAATAATTCAGCCATTTGGTAGGGTATGTGAATGAGTGTTTATGTGTGTAACTGAGTATAGTTAAATGTTTGTTCACTGTATAGTTCATTTCTTAAGTTTAATAGAAGGCATTTAAAAATGAATTTAATTTAAAAATTGGAGATAAATTTGAATCAGAAATCAAATGTTGGCGTATTTTATTTATTGTACATAAAAGTCAAGTGCTGGCTTCTTCCCCCCACATTTCAAATGCCTTAAAGCAAGAATCACTATATTATGTTTTTTAAAACATTTTAATTAAGAGTCCCATCGAGGGTTTTTTTTTTTGTTACCCTTGAAAGTCACTTTTTATTTCCCTTGATCTGTGAAGCACCTTATTCCAGTGACTTGTTAACACACCATTTTATTCTTTGCTATTATATATATATATATATATATATATATATATATATATATATATATATATATATATATATATATTCTGTTGCATATACGTATCCATTTGTTTTATTTACTTATTTAATTTTGTGGAGAGCATCTAATGCTTTTAGCGCTTTGCCTCCATTTCTTTCGAAAAATAAACATTGTTTAAAAAAAAATTATTCTTTGCCCTTCATGAAACGAAGCATTATACCTGGTGATTCATGATTTTCAGGATTTTCAAGTAGCATTGTCAGTGACATATGCATTAAGTTTTGCATACTGTGATTTTTAAATTGACTTTTTTCCCGTCAACTGTGATCACCCCTCCCCAATGTTTTCCTCAATTAAGAAAAGAAAGAAAAACAAAACACATTTGATTACACAAAAATTAGTATTTTATTGTAAAATTAAGAGAATAACATTTGAAATTTTAAACTGGCTGCTACAGAAGCAATAGCAGTTCTGCAATGATGATGCTGAAAAATGAGAAGATGAAAATATTAAAATATAATTCAGTTAAAATGTATTATCTTAAAATGTTGACAGTAACCCTCCAACCAGCAGCTTCCAGCTACGTATAATTATGTACAGGTTTTACCAGCTGTTTGACATAGTGTACCTCTTAAAAACTGAAAGTTCACTTAGTTATGATGCCATCAAAACAAGGAAACAAACAAAAGAACTTCCTTGTGACTGTATAATGAATCTGTTTTTTAAAATGCTGTCACATTTCTAAATATTGGGAGTGATTAGATTTATTCAATAGCAACAACAAAAATAACAACAATAATAATAACCATTTATGTTCTTGATCTTCGTCTGAAGCAAGACGTGAAGAGACTTTTAAGTCTTTTTAAAAAAATCTTCTCCACCTAGATGGGCGTCTGTCCTTGGAAGCTGAAATATATGACACAATATTACTTATTAATATGCAATAATATATAACCTTCAATATGTAGTTAGTGTACCACATTATTTCATGCATGCAACTGTACTGAAAATCTTTTACAATTATTTAAAATAAACAAATTAGACAATTAAAACTACTTGAAAAAAAATGCCATACACATCAATACGCAGTGTGTGTGTGTGTGTGTGTGTGTGTGCGCATGCTTGCAAGTTGCATGCACAATCACATTCCATCAGTGTAATAAATAAATCCTAATTCTATTGACCCTGATATCTTACTTTTCTCCTTCACATCCTCTGTCACAGTTGTTGTGTCTTTGATATTGACTGAAGAAAGACAGGAAAACAAATTAAACATCCCATACATGTGCACAACAAGGATACAGTACATTATTTAACAAAGTCAAAGATAAAGTGAAAGATTTAGTTAACTGAACAGTCTCCACCCTAAAGTCCATTTGTGTGTGTTTACATTTTTTAAGTGTCTTAAATGAATTCCTGACACACTCTTTGTGTCTTTGATATCAGCTGAAGAAAAAATGATATCAAATAAAATTTTAACATTCAATATCTGTGCATTTTCAAATAGGATTCAGCATTACAATTTGTTAAGAACATTCAAAGATTTAATTGACTTTAAAAATTATCTTCTTAAGTATGCTAAAGACCAGACTTTGTTTGAGCAACATGATTGTGGTGTGTATAAATATGTGTGTGTATGTGTGTGGGCGCATGCAGTTGTCATAAGTATATTAAAATTCATAATTATTTTACTGAGATTCCAGCCTTACCTAGCTTCTCAATACTTAGGGTCTTAACAATTGCTACATTGTTCTCTTCTTTGGTATCACCTGAAAGAACCGAATTGAATTTTAAGGAATACCAAGTGTGTTCAATGATTACACAGCAAGAGCATTAATTTTTCTGAAGAAAAAGTATCTTTTTAAGACTGTCAAAGGCCAGACATACTGTGCAACATAGTTTGCATGTATGTGTGTGTGTGCGTGTATGTGTGTGTGTGTGTGCACATGCATGCTAGATAACGGAACAGTGAATTTTAACTCAGTGTTTGTGCGAGTCTCCACCCTAAAGTCCATCTGTGTGTGTTTACACTATTAAATTTTGTTAAATGAGTTCCTGTTAAATTGACCTTACTGTCTTACCTTTTTCTTTGATGCCCTCAGCATCTGGCACAGTCTTTGTGTCTTTGATATCAGCTAAAGAAAAAATTATATCAATTAAAAACTTTACATTCCATATTTGTGCAATAGGATTCAGCATTACTAAGACACATTAAAAGACTTAATTAGCTTTAAGAATAAATAAATTATCTTCTTAAGCTGAAGACCAGACTTTGTTTGAGCAACATGCTTGCAGTGTGTAATGAAGGTGTGTGTATGTGGGTTTGTTAGTGTATGTGTGTGTGTGTGCACATGTTTCATAAGTATATTAAAATTTATAATTATTCTACTGAGATTCCAACCTTACCTAGCTTCTCAATACTTAGGGTCTTAACAATTGCTTCATTCGTTGATTGCTAAATCTGCTGAATTATTGTCTTGAATAGAGCAATACAATTATATAATACAATTCACTTACCACTGGTGTGGACTTCAGGCTCGTACATGTAGTTCAACTCTGGAATAAGATGTCACATTTATTTGTCATTCACAAATTATTACATAGATTAAAATATAGTCTAAAATGTATTTGACAGAATTAAAGGACCATTTCATCATTTCATTCCATAGGTTATATTTCATAGGATTATGAGATCAAGTAATCTGTTTTACCATACATTATACATGACAAAATTAAAAGTTTAATTCACCTTTTATTTCCATTGGTTATATCAAATAGAATTATAAGATCAAGCACCTTTTATTTCCATGTCCAGTTCTCCCCAAGTACAGGTCACTTCCATGCTGTCCTTGGTGGTCACCTGGAGGCACCTGTTCCTAAAGGGTTCAGGCTCCCATGTCCAGCCAGACCCAGGGTGGTAAGGCTGAATTATTGATAAATAAATAAATAAATAAATAAATTGATAACATGTTAATGTATAAAATGATAATATAATTTTATAAATATATACAATTAGGCTTACTAATAAATCAAATACTCCATAGAAATGAATAAATAAATACTTAAACATGCCGGACTTTAATTTTTTTACCTTAGATTATTACTTTTTTAAAAGGATATAATACTTACATTTTGTGGCTTTATGAATTTCCATTCTATTTTTGAGCCCTTGGGCAGGAGAAACTCTGCCCTTAGAGACAGGACACCCATGCTGGTGGTTCTTGACGTTAATGCCGTGCTGGGTGTCCCAGCCTCCAAGGGCAGTTCCCCTGCCCACCACTTTTGCTTTCAACAGGTTTTCTCTCAAAATTAGTCTGACAGTGGCTTTGGCTCTTCAAAATAAAAAAAGTAAAATAGAAAGAAATCCTATCAATATATCTTTTTGATATTTTCACTACAGACTTTCAAATTGACCACTTAATTAATGTAAATAAAGTATGTGATATCTTACTTTCATATTACAAAGAAATTAATTAGTTGTTTTAGGCCCATTGTAATGAATTGCCAGACCATTTATCAAAAACATACAGTCAAACAAACACACACAACTTACGAGCACACTGTTCTTTTTTGTTTATGTCAATCTCCATATCAGCTGTCATCTGCAATAGTGTAATAAATAAATAAATGAAATCTTAGTTTAATAAGATGCAAATAATAGATTTCTGTATCTTCATTTGATAGTTTTTAAAATAAACATTTGCGCCATTACAAGAATGATCAACAAAACGTTGTGTGACAGGAAATTTCCAAGAATTTTATTTAAAATATTAATTAATCACGAAAACATCATGGACAACACTGTAAAAAGGCACTATGTGGGCTTACTTTAAACTTGATACGGGGTTTCAGTTTGGAATAAAAAAAATAAAACTTACCAGCGACTGTGTAGACATTGTTTCTTTGCTTTGTTTACAAAACAATAAATAAGAATAATTATTGTATAAAGAAATTTTATTGGACAGCTCCTGTATTGTTTCCTTAACTTTTAACCAATCAGATTGAAGCTCTCGGCCTTGAGTCTTTCTGATAAATTACAAATCACAATATACATCAATGTCTGCACCCTGGTAATATCTATTGCAGTGCCAGAACCTTTTCCCTCCTCGCACAAGTTTCTTAGAAAGCAGGCGTTGAACCTGTTGCTGATACTGGCCGCAGTCCATTACAAATCCAGAGTCTCACCTCTTGCACAGCGCCATCTATACTAAACAATGTTTATATGGCGAATGCGAAGGGTGTTGCTGAAAAGCCGAGATTTTCATCAAACATTCTGTACACTGGATGTTACCTTCCATCAGGACACTTACCTTCGATGGTTCTGTTATAGATCCTAATGGCAAACTTAATCGGTGAGTTCAGGATGAGACATCTGAAGTGAAGAACACATACGGTATCGACTGTGTCAGTTGTTCACTGTTCACATCACGATGCAATGTGCTTGTGAAGGTTTTACAATTGTGCATTAGAATGTTGACGCTGCAGTTTAAAAGTGCTTTTGGAAAACTGACAAGACTGCACATCGTCAGCTTTTTGAAGTTTTGCCATTCTCTTTACATCTGTAGATGCTCAATGGCTTATGAAGGTGAGATAATTAACTGGAGAACTGACGTATCTTTTAATATATAAGAAGACCTTGTTCCTCTTCAGCCTTGACTTACAACAACACTTTATTTTGTAAGTTTTATATATTTATTTCTTCACAGTTAATATGATGTACACATGTAGTAAACCTACAAAAATTACTCTAATATTCTGGATCTTAAGGAAAAAGCCTCAGATCACTGACTTTTTTGTCTTTTTCAATNTTGGGGTACCCAGAGGATGTCATCCATAAAAATAAAAAAGTGTGGCCTTAAGAAATCATGAACAACACTGTAAAAAGGCGGTATGTGGGCTTACTTTAAACTTGATACAGGATTTCAGTTTGCAATAAAAAATAAAACTTACCAGCGACTGTGTAGACATTGTCTCTTTGCTTTGTTTACAAAACAATAAATAAGAATAATTATTGTATAAAGAAATTTCATTGGACAGCTCCTGTATTGTTTCCTTAACTTTTAACCAATCAGATTGAAGCTCTCGGCCTTGAGTCTTTCTGATAAATTACAAATCACAATATACATCAATGTCTGCACCCTGGTAATATCTATTGCAGTGCCAGAACCTTTTCCCTCCTCGCACAAGTTTCTTAGAAAGCAGGCGTTGAACCTGTTGCTGATACTGGCCGCAGTCCATTACAAATCCAGAGTCTCACCTCTTGCACAGCGCCATCTATACTAAACAATATTTATATGGCGAATGCGAAGGGTGTTGCTTAAAAGCCGAGATTTTCATCAAACATTCTGTACACTGGATGTTACCTTCCATCAGGACACTTACCTTCGATGGTTCTGTTATAGATCCTAATGGCAAACTTAATCGGTGAGTTCAGGATGAGACATCTGAAGTGAAGAACACATACGGTATCGACTGTGTCAGTTGTTCACTGTTCACATCACGATGCAATGTGCTTGTGAAGGTTTTACAATTGTGCATCAGAATGTTGACGCTGCAGTTTAAAAGTGCTTTTGGAAAACTGACAAGACTGCACATCGTCAGCTTTTTGAAGTTTTGCCATTCTCTTTACATCTGTAGATGCTCAATGGCTTATGAAGGTGAGATAATTAACTGGAGAACTGACGTATATTTTAATATATAAGAAGACCTTGTTCCTCTTCAGCCTTGACTTACAACAACACTTAATTTTTTAAGTTTTATATATTTATTTCTTCACAGATAATATGATGTACACATGTAGTAAACCTACTAAAATTACTCTAATATTCTGGATCTTAAGGAAAGAGCCTCAGATCACTGACTTTTTTGTCTTTTTCAATCATTCATCTGACCACAATGTACTATAGGACTCCTGGAGGCACAGGACTATACTGCCACAATGGAGCACAATGACTCCACACTACAACACTGTCCTAGGAGGCACAGGACTATACTGCCACAATGGAACACAATGACTCCAGACTTCAACACTGTACTAGGAGGCACAGGACTATACTGCCACAATGGAACACAATGACTCCAGACTACTTCACTGTACTAGGAGGCACAGGACTATATTGCCACAATGGAACATAATGACTCCAGACTACTACACTGTACTAGGAGGCAGAGGACTATACTGCTTGCGTAGAGAATGTGAAGACAGACATTTCAGCCAGTGAACAAAATGTTCTCAGCGAAAGAACAGCCAAAATCACCAGATTTAAGGAGATCTCAAAGAGTAAGGAAAATCCCTGAAAGATTCAAGGATTTTGTGTTATAAAAGTGTTTAGTTAGCTACCAAGTGGTAAAGACTTGACTTAGAGAGTGATGTTCTGGCAACCTCTCCTCTCTTGTATAGGACTTAATTTTTATCTCTTTCTCAAAGTAATTCAAACTGTACATGTGACAGTGAACACTAAGATCACAAAATACAGTAAAGGACTTCAATCATTTTTTTTTAGAGACATTGATTTGTAAGAACAGCACTTAAAGTTTCATGTTTGTATTAAAAAAATGACAGAAAGACAATAACACTGCTACAATTTAAGTGATTTTATTCAAGAATCAGTAACCAATGGATCAGTGACTGCTTATGTTTCTCATTTTCAAAGACTGTTACATGTAAATCACGAAGACTTTTGTGAGAGACTGTCAGACACTGCACATATATTATTATTATTTTCAGTTTACTTTTCAACCCCAGGTAAAAGTAATTCAAGGTGGGGAAGGATGTAATGTAGTAGTTTGACTTTATGCGTGTGTTATATCTTATATGTAGATCTTACGTCATCAGTTTTACACATGAGTTAGTATAAATGGAATAAAGAGCACATGGTCTCTTAAAACACCGGCTACTCTAGTCACTTTATTATAACTACTACACTGTACTAGGAGACACATGACTATACTGCCACAATGGAACACAATGACTCCAGACTACTACACTGTACTAGGAGACACAGGACTTATTACCACAATGGAACTCAATGACTCCAGACTACTACACTGCACTGGGGGGCACAGGACTATGCTGCCACAATGGAACGCAATGGCTCCAGAATAATTTCCAATATGGTTATATAAGAGCATGCATTGCATATATTAAATGTTTCTACACAGATCACATTGTTTTCTGGATCTTTACAGCCTTTCAGCAAGTTTTTCGTCTTTTATAATGTAATACCTGATATTTAGGTGAATTTGTGCTGCTACTGATGTGAGACTTTTTATGTAAATCCCTTGGGCATTTTATTACTTTGTCAAAGAAACTGAAAAACCAGTTTTAAGACACTAAAAAATTAAGAAGATTGTTTTAAAGATGTTTTTTTTATCATCTTCCAGCCAGAAGGATGGCCAAGTCCATCAGAGTGAACAGGAAACAGTCAACAGGTAAATTAAATATGTGGATCTATCATAAATGAAAATAACCTTCTCTCGATCAAATACCCTGCAGTAATTCATCATTTTGCTCAGTTAAATATGAAAAAAAAAAATACAGAAAACGAAAACTGAACTACAGACATGGCTTGTTCATGCGCAGCAGACGATTCCGGTCTCCCTCCAGTATGGCTGCCGTTTGTTTTGATGACGCAGGCTCTAATGGGTCAATACCGTACGACATTATACGGAGGTGTAGATTGCCACTGTAAATGAAATTGGTGTCAGTAAATTATTTAAAATACAGAACATATCACTCAAACTTGTAGAAAAGTTTCTGAGCATCATGGAAGGATTTATTGGGGAGGGGAGAGGGTGAAGGCCATCGTACAAACTAGACGTCTT